CCTTCTATGCACTAGCAGTACCACTGTCCACTGGAGTAATATATGTGCATCCTATTATGTACACTGATACAACTTCTATAATTAGTGAGAGTAACATTGGGTTAAGTCCTACCCATTTTGATTTAAACCCCCAAATGCCACAAAATTCAAAATTAACAGAGCCCAATCCTGCAGCACCCATCCATGCAAAAACCTCTCTAACAGAAGTGATGTTCCCATAGGGACCACAGGACGCAGGCTCTGTCCGTAACCAGTGTGTTCAGGCAGTGCAAACAGTCTTCTGTAAGGCTCAATAATCATCACAAAAGGGTGATGTAAAAACAGAGTGGGACATCCTCGCTTTTGCAGCAGTAACCTGAAAACTTCAGTTATTGAAATGTCTGATGCCTTAATGAGCTTAACAAACCTTTTTTGCTTGGAACAAACAGGTTTTGTGAAGAAAAAAACCCAGCTCCTAGTTATTTCAAGGCAATCATTAAGCTCTTCATTCCCCTCTCACAACCAGCAACCCCCTGGAATCTGATATCAAATGTCAATGCAATCATAAAGTTAATAAATTATGCTACCACCCTTTTCCCTCTCACTTTAGCCACAAGACACTTAAAGATAAAGAAAAAAGGCTAGGTTGTAGGCAACAGAAATCTTTTCAGACACTAAAAGATAAAAGGACTATGTGACAGGCAACATAAAGTTCCTAGGCATAAAGAAGGCTTGTCAAACATTTGATGCAGTATCCATCCTGTCACTGTCACTGTCACTGTCACACACACACACACACACACACACACACACACACACACACCTTTTAAAGATACAGTACATATATTTTATATACATATACATAGAGCGATAGATCAAACGATAGACAGATAAACCTCTCTCCTCCAAAGTTCGTCTGGTCACACTCCAACAAAATTCCTGGCACTTGGGGCTGAATCCACAAAGGGGCTTGGGAGTGAGAACACTCATTTTTTATAATATCCAATTACAAACTTGGTTCCTGTGTGGAAACCACTGAGGCAGGCACCCAAACTCCCTATACAATGCATGAGAAGAGTCAAGTGCAGATTTACACCTTACAGACTAACCAAAGTAGATCACACGCACACACATTCTATACAATCTCACACACATACACATGCAGCACAAGCTTTTGTGAGCTGAAGGTCACTTCTTTGGATGCTGATGGGTTAGGTAGCTCATAACAGAATGCAAAGCAATCAGCACCAAGGAGGGAACCACCTAGGTTGCTCAATAGGAAATGCTGTTGAGAGGCATATCCTAAATTCTGGTCACGCTTAAGGTTTTAGGAGCCCAACTTGGGTTGCAGGCACTTAGGTCAGTTCAGGATTCACTGGGCTGCAGAACCAAGTTATTTCTTTCTTCCCAGCTCTGGCTCAATGAATCTTGTATTCTTTTTTGCAACCTGGCTGAACCTGTTCCACTCTTTCTCACTGCTATTCTATAAAACTAATCTGGAAAGTACACCCTCCTGGGAGATGTAGGGTTGAGCCACCCTCCTCAAGCCCAGGCCTACAATTCAAGTGTCCTATATTCGAGAAACCATTCTAACTATGGAGCTACTGTTACAGAAAGAAACACTACCATCACCTCCTCCAGCCATGGTTGGTTTTTTTTTTCCCAACAAAAGTGGCTGTGCATCTGTGTTTTGTGCAGAGCTCACTTCTGTCAGTATGTGTAAAGAGTGATCTGGGCACATCTATGGCATCAGGTCCCTCAGGGAACTTAGGCAGAAGTTTTCCTATTTTGAAGTTCCTGATCAGGACTAGGTGCTAAACTACTCACAGCCCCATCATGATGGCAACAGTTCTGAAAACATACAGAAGCAAAGCTTTTAGCACTAAAGCAGTTGTTCCCAACCTTTTTTTGCCATGACCTGCTGCTGGAAGCAGAGTGCAGCGGGGTCCAGGGATGGGGACAGGGGAGCTACCAGCATGCAACACGGCTCGTTGTTTGTGCAGTGCCACCAGCATTGCCCCACAACCCTCATTTGGGAACAGCTGTACTAAAGGAACTTTACTGGCAAAAACTAAAGTGTCTCTATACTTTACAAGCCTAGGGAGTCAAATAGGGTTTTTGAGGATAATATTCTTGAATTTCAGCCCCTAAGTTTCACTTAGGCCCTTCGGTAGATTTCAACTTTGACCTCTTCTCTCTTGGACATGACACCCAACAAACACAGTCCTTTCTTCCACTGAGTACAGTTAATGGTGGCCTTGGTCCCTTCCCCCTCCCCACCTCAGACATTCATCTCCTGCTGGCAGATGGCAGCTTTGGCCCTGCAAAAAGTTCCAGAGAAGTGATCCTCTCTTTCTCTAACGCTGTAGCTTCTTTGTTTGCTTCCCTTTCAACAACTCTCCATGTACTTCTTTACATTAAAGAAAGAGACAGACATTTTTAGAAACAACAGAGAACATGAAAACCAAGCATCATGTGGCAGCCAGCTCACTACAAACTACAATTAATGATCCACAAGATACAATTTGGGAAAAATTCACCTATGACATAGTAAAACACCTTCCCTTTTATCAAAGAATTCAAGTGCTAGCAGTGAGACAAGTTTTTTCAGTTTGGAAGGAAAATCAGTGGGAAAGTGTATGTGGCTAAACAACCCAAAATGACGGAGGCCATGGAAAGACATAACTTTTAAAATGCATCAAATACCACTGCACTTCAAAGTGCTTCAAAAATTAAGAACTTCAGTTAACATACCTCCCAGAGACAGCATTTCAAAATCACTACAAAGGCTTGCAACATCCTACTCTCCAGCTAGGAAGCACAATAGGGGATTGCTCGGTCCTGTAGCTCCACTCCCCACCACACCTCCAACACATAGGACAGCACTATTGACTTCCTGTACACTTCACTTTGCCTCTTCATGGAGTGAAGGGGAAAAGAGTTGAGCCCTGTGGGACACTGGGAAACCATGCAACCCCCTGTTGCACTCCGTACAGTATTCACAAGTAACATTTGAAGAACTTCAGAGAAGTTGCTTATTGATCAAGGGTTGCCGCTTTCTGCTTTCAAAGAAGTTGCTGTTCTCTGGAGCGCATTTTCGGAGCACTTCGTAGGGTGTGTAGTTCTGTCTGCTCACCATCTGAAGAGTGCTCTAAATGTTATGTCTGTCCATGACCCAAGCATAGTCATTTTCACTTACAACTTTCAGGTCAAGCCACGCATCTCTAGCCAAACCCTGAACAATAATCCAACAGATATGTGACTGGAATAAGTTGAACCAAAAGATTAACAAAAAAGACATTTCCAATTCACTGACTTTAAGCATCTAACAACACCCTGTGTCCAGTCAATTTCTGTGTTGCATTTTTGTACATGCAGGGTCTTAACACAACAGAGAAGGGAAAATCATGTATGAAGATAGGGAAAAAAGGACCTTAGAACTGGAAAATATCAGCAAGAGTACCCCAGAGCAGGCATACTACCTGAAGCCACTAAGAAAGGGACTTGGTTTCAAACTGATGAACATTTAACAAGGAAAATATTGGGATATGCAGTTCAACTAATTATTCCGACCAAAGGGAAGATACTTCAGGGTCTTGCCATAAATGGTACAAAGTACTCATTTACAAAATAGCTGCAAATCATCCCACGGTCAGATACATAATTGGAGTACCAGAGACTGGGGCTATATCTCCAACTTCATACCTATTAAAACTTCCTTTGTGTGTTTTCTTTTCTTGTAGAGAGACTAGATTGTGGTCACTCCAGGAAAAAATTATACCAGCAGATTTTTATAATAAAAACTGATGGACTAATTTTCCCTGGAGTGACCACAGTCTATCCTTCCCTTGTGTCTTTTTAAGACCCTGCATGTACAAAAAAAAGCAACACAGAAATTAACTGGACACAGCTTGTTGTCAGATGCACAAAGTCAGCAAATTGGAAATGTCTTTTTCGTTAATCTTTCAGTTTGACATATTCCAGTCACATATCTGTCTGATTATTGCTTTTTATAATAAAAAGCTGTTGATTTTAGGAAAAGTGTCTTAAAAATAATACTGTCAAATGTTTAAGAGGCTCCTTTAAACGTTTCTTAGATTAAAGGAATCCAGTCACACGTACCCAGGGTCAGTGCATGCAAACTGACTGAAACAGATCAGAAAGTCTGAACGTGACATGAAACTCTCCAATCTGTTTTCAGAGACTGATCTATGCCCCTGGCCCTGCAATCAGCCAAGCAGGGACAGGAACTCGAGGGCAGCCCCACTAAACTACGCAAGGCTGTACGGGGCAGGACCCCCTCTTGCAGGATCAGGGCCTCCCCAGGGAAGAGCAGAAGCAGCATTAGCCTGGCAGCACAGAAGCGTTTCTCAACAGGTTGCGGGAGCTACCTAGGAGGGAGCAGCACCCCCATACTTACCGCCCATGCTCTGGAGCAGGGGGAGGAAGGGAGGAAGGCACGGGTGAGACAGCAGTTGATGAGAGGGAGCTCTGCCCCCTGGCCCAGGAGCACCTCACCCACATCAGGCTTTGGGGCACCTCAGCTCAGCCCTGCGCCCGCCACCCTCCACACTGGCAGCACCTGCGGCACAAGTGCGCCGGGCCCAGATGCAGCCCGGTCCTGCCCGGTGCGGTGGGGGGGGGGAGGGAGGGGGAAGAGAGCGCTCATCCGGGGGCGCCCGCCACTGTCAGGGGGCTCGG